TTTCGTAAGGCTATATTACCCGCATTTTACAACATTTCGCAACGAAACTTTGGTATGTTACTAATTTTGTGATGCTCTTTCAAGTTGTGATGAAATTTTTGTCTAGACCAAAATTTAGTCTATAATGCAAATGGTCCATTGGGCATTGGCATTGAGTCCAGTTGTCGAGCTCTAACCTCAAGTTTTTGTATATACAGTATAGTATATATATATAGTTTTTGGGGCACTATCATGCTTGATAGAACTAACCGCATGCAGTTGCATTGAAGGATTTTTGTAGATTTCGAGCGGAAGATTTTATACAATTTTTTAGACTGAAAATTACTTCGTGATTTATTATTATTGTTACTGCGTTTTGCATTATTTATTATATATTTACATCTATAGGGTGAGCAAGAGCATCATAATCGCATTCCTTTTGGTGGTCATTTGTGTCAACCTGAGCGAGGGAAAGCCGCTCTTTTGGGTACGGAAAATGAACAATGCAGCAGCACAAGTGAATGATGGGATTGATGCGCATCCCGATGCTTCAGTGGCAGGCAGGAAACGTGGATCTGCTGAGAATTCCGTCGTGTTACTGCTGAAAATCGACCTTTCCCGCCCGCCTGGCTTGAATGTTATGAGAACCATCGAGGACTAGTGAAATGTTTTTAGAATGTAGAATTTTGATAGAGGGTCCTGAAGGGGGGGGGGGATCCCAATCCCATTTCCCACCTCAAATTTTGGCAAAATCCCAGTCCCAGTTGGATTTTTATTAGAAATCCCAGTCCGAGTTATTGAAATCCCAGTCAATAAAAAAACCCCTTATTTATCGCTACAATAAACAGTTTTAAAACTTTTAAGCCACCGTGTGTGCCAGTGGCGAACACTTTATGAAATATTGGGAGAGGTTCCTGCCGAAGGCACGGAAAATTTTTAAATTTGAATCCCGGAAATGGCATTTGCAGCATTCTGAGACACGCATAATCAGAAAACCCAGAATTTCGGGCGCCAGAGTATGCCTGTTCTCAGGTAGTGCTGTGAATAATATAGTTAACAACAAAAATCATGACCAAAGACACGAAAAACGGATCAAAATTGTATTTTAAAATACTTAAAACGTAGAAAAATTGGGAATCGACTCGCATTACCTCAATCCCATTCCAATTCTTGAGGACTTCGTTTCCCATTCCCAGTGGCCAAATCTCAGTCCCAGCAACCCAAATCCCATTTTCCCAGTCTAAAAATAGATCAATCCCAGTTCCCATTTTACCCCTTCAGGGCCCTCATCTTTGGGATCATGTGCTCCTGATTTCCATATTCTTCAACTTTTAGGACAGACAGCTGGATAACATCCATAATTCTGAACATTTAATTAACATTCATTTGCATTTCGTACATATAGTATAAATGTTACTTGAAATCCAGGATCCCAGGAATGGCAAATTCCTGGGAATTTTATTCTTACTAAGATTATTTGACGCACTATCACGATGCATATTTCACTTTATTTTTATTTGGGGTCCTTCTATTTGCCCTCTTGCTCACCCCCTCTGGGTGCCACTGAGGACTGAAATTATTCCTTTTACACTGTCGTCCACGCTGCATCCCATTTGAAGACTTTTATCTGGGGGGATATTTATTCTGCTATACAAATTTTGTCGTTCATTATATAATTGCAGATACCACATTATCGCCGAAATCATGCAAGCGACGAGCATTCACAATCTCAAAGGCCTACATGTTGATCAGACTGGTCATGGCCAGTCATATGATAAAGGTGAGATGCTTCGAGCTCGTAATCTCAAGCGATATATCAATCAATGTACGGTAGCCAAAGCACAATGCGAAAAAAGAATCAAGATGCTTGGCGGGCCAGACTATACTAGCCAAAATTCTGGGGATGTCAAGCTGGATGATGGGAATTTGTCATCGAGACGCAAGAAGCAGGCAAAGCAACAGAAGATATTGACGTACGCTGAGATTATTGACAATAGTTTGGCACGGAGTTATTTCATGCAGTTTCTTGGACATAATGGAGCCGATCATATGTTGAGGTAATTAGCCATTTCCCATTCGAGCAGAGGACTGGATCTAGTCACTTGTTTGGAAGGACAAAAAATAAACAATATGCCGAATATTGGGTCTAGGAAGTTTTCCTACCTTCCTAAAGTTATTTGTGCAGCCTATATATATATATATATATATATATATATATATATATATATATATATATATATATATATATATATATATATATATATATATATATATATATAGGTAACTGTAAATAGCAGTTACTTTCATCCTGCTCATCAGCACTACACTGATGAGGCCCGTAAGGCCGAAACGGTACCGTCTGTAGTTAGATATCGCTCTATGGCCTTTATAGGTCATATTGAGCGCTCTACAGGATGAGCCATTGCCGCTTACGCATTGCTCACTGCTTGCCGTTTGAGCGCTCTGGCCTGGTTTTGATGTATCACAATCGTGAGGCATCAAAGGTAACTGTAAATAGCAGTTACTTTCATCCTGCTCATCAGCACTACACCACAAAATAAATAATAAGACCAGAAGTCTCACTCGATGTCGGAATCTTTGATGTTGATGTCCCCGCGCATGTCGCCTCGCGCATCTTGGCCGCGTCTAGTTTCCAGTGCCCTAAACAAGTGTAATTTGACAAATTTACATGTAAACATTAAGGAGTGAGGAAGTTAAAACGATACCAATCGAGTTTTAGAGCTTTGGTGACCATTTTAAAAGAATATATGATAAATTCAAAAGTAAGTCTATCGTATTGCATTGTCTTAAATGAATTCTCAGCTAAACTACGGCAATAAATGGATCATAAATTTAGTTAAATTTACTGTTGACAACGAGGTTGACAGATCCATCGCTTTTTTTCCTTGAATAGCATTACCATAGTCATTTTACCTTAAAATGTAGCTACCGAGGATATCTCTAAGAGATTTTACACAGATTATTTGCACAATCTCACGATTTAATCATGCTGATAACATGAAAATCCTTGTGTCATTGTATACTTGGCATAATCTTTACATCAATAGTTCACCAGTTCAACAAGTACTTATAAGTTATAAATTCAATATACTTTTGAACCAGTCCATGTATTAATATTATACACAATGTAGTATAGTTAATTTGACCATTGAGAAGTAAGGGGTGTATTACATTACACAGACACTGCTGAATTTTAGGTTACATGCCATTGGATTGATATATAAAAACATTTGTAAAAACACACATTATCTTGTTGATAGAATAGTTATTTGCAGTATACTAACTGTTGGCATACTCCATTTCAGGCCTATCAATTGTTTTTGTCACTGGCAATCTTTGAAACACAATCTTGCTCTGTGGCCTTTACTGACAAGTTGGCTTTTACTACATATGTGGCACTGACACCTCTTTAATTAATGCACCAGTCAATGTAAACCCCCAACCGGGGAGGGGCAGGGATTTTGACTTGGAGGGGTAGTAAAAGAGCAAAATTGTCCCGCCCCCAGGGACCTCAATGTCCCCTGCATGTCTCTCAACCGCGGGAAAATAGTTTTGTATAATCATAGATCAGCAATAGAAAATCAAATTCATTTATGTTGTTGTATTTAAACTTTTCTTGTCAAGAAAACTAAAACAGCAACACAGGATATATATATTAATAAATTAACCACCGTCCAAGTCTCCCATCATCGGGGCAAATTTATAATCAAAACGGACCACTTTCCCCACTAAACCTCCCACCCCTCCCCGACTGGGGGCAGGGTTTACATTGACTGGTACATAACTAGATGATTGCATGAAAGTTGATTTACGTATAATTAGTTTATGAATAAACTCGCACTTTCATTGTAGAGGTTAAGATTTGAGTTCTACTAGCACTATCTCTGACTGCCCTAGTATGCATCTGATTGGTTATAATGGTTGATCGAATGTATCAAATGCATTTGATGGTCCCTTAATGGTAATGGTAGTCAAATCTGAACCTCTATAATGTCAATGAAGAATGCATACTGGAAAAGTATCAAATTAAATTTTAATTGTCAATGTTGTGGAAAGTAAATAAATCAAACAATTCTGTTTGTTTCAACTAACTAGTTCACTATCACTTTGGTTTTCAAATCAAAGAATCTTTAGCCTGGTTGAGCTTTTGAAAAAGTAGCTGCTTGATTGAACCCAAGATTATTTTACTCTATCTAACACCAGACAATTTCACTCGTCAAGGGGAAAGTGCTGCCACTCAGTGAACTCAATCAGAGCTCAATGAGCAGCAGCACTCTCCCTCGA